AGAGAAACCCTGTCTCAAAAAACCAAAAACCAAAACTAACCACTTATAGGGAGACCAAGTGATATATATATATATTATATGTGGTAAAATTTACCTGTTTTCTAACACTGAAAAATAAGATAACAAAATCTACCTACATACCATCAACAAGGGTCTCATAAATATATTAATACATTTAATCTTTTTTCTGAAACACAGGATATTTCCTATCTTAACATGTATTAAAGGATGGAAACTCGATGGATTTGGAGGCAGAAGGCATGTGTTAATTCTACATATATATATATATATATATATATATATATATATACACACATACATATGTATATGATTCAGAGCAAAGTGTTTATCACTTTGTTTTGTTTAGGGACGGTGGAGGAAGGAGGGAAGGAAGAGGGAAAAGGAGACGGGAGAGTCAGAGTGATCTAAAGGTAAAGTGCAGTTCCTACAGGCAGGAGGCCCCCCTCAGAGAAAGGACTGCTGTAAATTAAGAGGATAGAAGAGGAAGTTCAAGAGAGTGAAGAGGACTAATATAGACAATTTAGAATATTTGCTAAAGAAGTTATTAAACTGTGAAAGCTTATTACAGACACATTTATTTTTTTCTTGTCATTGAATCTCATTCTTCTTAACTTTCGGAGAACAAATTTTAAGAAGTTAGGCAGCAAGAAAACCAGTTTGTTGAATTCCATTTAATTCCTAAGAGTGGGTTATAGTGAGGATGAGAAAAGTGTCATATAAAGCTTTTTTTAAAAAAATTTAGTATTATATAGTCTTCTGTCTGCATGTACAACAGAAGAGGGAATTCAGATCTCATTATAGATGGTTGTGAGCCACCATGTGATTGCTGGGAATTGAACTCAGGACTGAGTTCAATTCACCACTGAGCCATCTCTCCAGCCCTAGATACTATATCCCCAGAAGCAGGAGTCATATAAAGTTCTTTTTTTTAAATTTATTATTAGAGGATGGGAAAAGAGAATGGAAATCTTTTCCCACAATAGATTTGAGAATAGGGGTCACATCTCATTTGTTCACCCTACTAGCTAAATATCTTAGTAAATGCTAAAATACTGTTTTTGTAATTAAAGCATTAAAGAATACTATTAAAAGGATGCTTTCTTATTGTATATTTATCACTAAGTCTTTGTGCATGCCTCAAGTTATTGTCAGAGAAGTACAAGGGAAAATTTATTTATGTTTTAGTGCTAGGGATAACAGCCAGAGCCTTGTGACTAGTACATTGGAACTCTAGCACTGAGTGATATCCCAACTCCACATGAATGTTTACAGTCCTTTGTATGTTTAGCTTAGAATGCACAAACATTTCAAATGGTGCAATAATGTGTACGTGGCAACAACATGAAACTAATCTGTCATTAAAGCATCACTTATTTTTACCTGTTTTACAATTTGCTTCAACTTAGAGGGAAGACTATAGAATTTTTATCAGTTTAAATTATAGTAAGGAACTTTACAGAAATGTTTATCTTTAGAAATAACAGGGATGACAATAAATCCTTGGGAAAATTTTTTTAATATTAACAAATTTCAAATACATTTTATGAGTACAATGTTATTGCTTAATATATATTACAAAATCCTTAACTTTATGAAGTAGTCAACTGTCTAAATATTAAAAAAAAACCCAGTCCTGATATAAATATTTTCTCTATTATATCAAAATTAAAATTTACCCGTATTCTAACACTGAGAAATAACAAAACCTACCTAGACATCATCAACAAGGATCTCATAAAACATATTTAACACATTTAAAGCATATCTTTTGCTTTTCTGAAACACACGATTTTCCTATTTTAATAAATATATTAAAGGATGAAAACTCCAGGGCAGAATGGAATTGGAGGCTGAAACCGTGTTCACTCTCGAACTACACAGACCACAGGCATCTCCATTTCTTATGCAAATGGAACAGAGTAATGTTTAGTAAGTAAACAAAAATACAGTCTTGTGTGGATCCAGGTTCTAAGGGAAAAGAAAAAGAATGGATAACAACTGTTTTGTATGGCGGGTTCTTTGATTACACCCCCCCCCCCCCCCCGGGGGAGAAGCAGCCTTGCTAGGCCACAGAAGAGGACTTTGCAGCCAGTCCTGAAGACACCTGATAAACCAGTTTCAGATGGAAGGGGAAGAGGTTCTCCCTTATCAGTGGATTTGGAAAGGGGCAGGAAGGAGATGAGGGTGGGAGGGTGGGGTTGTGAGGGAAAGAGGGAGCGGGATACACCAGGGATACAAAGTTAACAAACTGCAACTAATATTAAAAAAATAAAAATTAAAAAAAAACAACAACTGTTTTGTGACATATTTCAGAAACCTATCAACAGGATTACTTTCCAAATACTAAGTTTCAAATATTCCAGTATTCAAATATAAGTATTCTACTTATAGCTGTGTTTTATTTTTTCAGCGGTTATCGTTATAATTTTGTTCACCTTTTTTTAAGGGTACAATGTCTTACAACCCAATAACACTGAACTCAGGCCAAACTCTAGTGTTTTACCCTCCTTTGATATTTCATTCTAAGAAGAAATCTGTTTTACTTCTAAAGAAACTCACTTGGTTGTGAAAAGGTCTTAAGTTTCTGTTATCCCTCCAGTTTCAAGTCAACAGTGTGAAACAAAGCATTTTACACCCATTTCTTTCATAAAACTTATATTCTCAGTACGGTTTCTTTCAGGAGGCTTGCAGCAACTTAAGGGCAGACATTGTCGTATTTCCCCCTTTCCGGTGTCAGAATGTGAACCCAGGGCTTCATGTATGCTGACCATAAGCTACATTTCAGCCCAGCATTTTTCTTCACATGTAGTTCCTAACCTTCAGCTGTGTATTTGTTGTTTGTTTTTCCCTTGTGAAGGTTAGTAGCCTGTAGACACAGTGGGTAAATAGAAGATCTATGAAGTACATCTGGGGAAAAGCTGTTGTAATTGTGATTAGTTTATTGATTTTTGAAACAAGGTCTCAAATAGCCTAGGCTGGCTCTGGTTTCTGATCCTCCTGCCATTTCTCCCAAGTGCAGACATCAGAGACATTTGTCCCCATGCCTCCTGAGGTCTCATTCCATTAGTTTTATGGTATATAGTCAAGTAAAAAAAAAAAAAATTATCAGCAAACTGAAAGCAGGATTTTAAGATTCCTTGTGTGTTTTTAAAAGCATGGCCTGGAACTCACATTTTTCCTACCTTCACTTTCTTTTCCTCATGGCTAACATTACAGATGTGTGTTACCATGTTCAGAAATGAAGCCATTTAAAGACAGACAGACAGATGTATTATTAATAAATTCATATAGAAAGAGTTTGTAACATGTTATCAGGAAAACAACATGAAGAAAATACACAGAAAATTAGTTACTGAGGATTGTTTATTCAACAGTGTCAAAAACAGTGAATGAAAAAGACAGGGGCTATGGTTCAGTGGTAGTATATGTATGCTTGAAGCCCTGCATCCAGCTCCCAGCACACAAACAAAACAAAGTATAATGTAATAATGAATGAAGACTAAGCAACTTTTCCAAAATGTGTTGTATTTTATAATGTCATATATTTATGGTTCAAAAAGTATATTAAGATATCAAGATATTGTATGTAGCAGTAACCAGACCACATTAACTAGTGGTTAGTATTTGGGGTACATGGTATACTACATGAAAATTTACATTTAATTATCCAGCTTATTTTGGCTTCTAGGTAGGTACAGTAAGTGTGTTTTAAACTGATTTTTTTAAACGATATAAAGATACCTGAAACATTATTAGGAAAAAATATACGATGATAAATCCAAGGAACTATAAATAGCTAACAAGGTTTATCACATCTACAAAAGAAATTTAAAGCATACTTGTTATAAGTGTCACATGAAAACTGAAAGATACATTTCCTACCATTATGTTTGCAGGGAATATGGTCCTTACTAAACAGAGTGCTGATAACTAGGGGAGAAAGAAAGAAACAACCCAAAGGTTGGCAAAGAACCAAAATTCCATTTCTTTGTAGGAAAGACATAGTTATTTGAGATTAGGTATGTTACTTTCATATGGTAATCTCACAAAGCTGAAGTAGAACTAAATAATTTACTTAAGTGAATACACTTTTACATTACTTAGCCAAAACATTTTGAAGGAAGGGCTCTTATTTTGAAAGGCTGTTATTACATTTATTGACACAAGGCAAGCCTTTCTGAGGTGCAAGTGATGCCAGGATAGCAATCTCCATACTTCCATTCTATAAACATCAGTATTTGCATAGCTTTATTATAGAGAAACACATTACTTTAGAACTGTATTTTATTTTCATTATCATTTAAGGTTGTTTCCATTTTCTAAAAAACAGAAAGCTGATGAGTGATATAAATTGACTCTGTTTTAACTTAACACAACATAGTTAAGCAATTTCCTGTGACTAAATTATACTGTGATTTATTAAGTGATGGGTGAGGGGGAAAGCTATTTTTGACATAGAAAAGGCAATTAGGAAGTAGCTAAAAAAGAAAACAGCTTACAAGTTTTGCTATCAACACAAGGAACAAATAGGTTCAGGTAGAATGTGTTTATTAATTGTATCAGTTATCAAGATGGAAATTCAGTATTTTTATTATAAGAAAAAGAATATTATACATTTGTCTATTTATTGTGTTAAGGTAAAAGCTAGACCCCGAAATCTGCATTATTTTCTTAAAAGTTGTTTATAACTCACCAGGTTTTCCTGGTCTGAGGTACTTGAGGCCTTAGCTAGTGTGGAGTCTCAAAGGCATTTCACTTTCAAAATATTATGTTAAAATTATTTTACAACCTACTTTTAAATCCATTGTTCTTATAAGGAAGGTCATGATAAGCAAACTTTGACTGGTTAAAAGAAATACAAAAAGCTAAAAAAGAGAAAAAAAAAAAAACAAAAACCAAAAACTTGCCCTGGACCCCAAAGATTTTATTTTATAAAATTTCAGCCATAATCCCAATAATTTAATTAATACAAAATCTAGTAGTTTTAAGTACACATTTAATGATTTAGCTCCCACTTCACATGTTCTTTAGAATGTAATATTTCAACTTTGGTGCAGAATGTTTTTTTCTTATATAAACATATCATTTGTCATTCCTATCTGACAGCAGCTTAAAAACAAAACAAAAAACGAAACCAGAAACACCCTGCGAATGCTGTTTTGTAAGATGTCTAAGTATATAATCCTTATAAGGCACTTTTACTCATTCTCAAACTCGTCATTGATCCTCCACTTTCTCAGTCTTCATAAGATATGTAGTGATACTATTACTTCAGGTAAAACTTAAGTCCTTGATTTTAGTATAATTGCCAGAAGTATCTTCGATGATGATAAGAATGAAAGACGGGTATCAGGTTCCCTGTAAGGAAAACTTAATGCAGATATTCTCATCCATTTTAGACTTAGAGAACTGGTAATGCTTTATCTTGTTGATCCTGGTCAAGAATTTTTAAGTCTTCCAAAGGAAGACTGCTTAAGGTGGCTGGTAAAATGTGTTCCGAGATGCCCTTAGGTAGCATGTTACTTGCTTCTAAGCTCTTCACAAAGTATGTGGTTTTGATCCATCTTCGAGTTGCTCTGCGTTCTCTTTGCAGGCAAGTTTTCATTTTTCTTCTTAAGCTTGCTATTTCTTTTTCTAGCTTAATTATCCTCTTTTTCGCCTCCATAGGGTTCCTAAAGGCATAACTGTGTTCAAGCAGTACTTGCTGACTATTGTTCAGCTTTAAATTACACGGTCCAGTTGGAGTAAAACTCTCGTTTTTCTTCAAAAGATTCCTTGACTTGAGTTTCTGAGCCGAACAAAGAGTTTAATATAAATTATGAATATCACAAATAAGTAAACAGTGTCCAGTTTTGAGTAACACAGTATTTAAACTGCTCTTTTAAGAAATGTTTGTAAAGTTTAATGGGCAACAAAGGCATGCTACCTCATTTGATCACAGCTTAAGTTCCTCAGTAGTTTGAATGAACTCTAGTCACCTTGTACTTTTCTTTTTTGAGGCAGGGTCTCTCTGTGTAGCTCTGGCTGTCATAGAACTTACTATGTAGACGAAGCTGGCCTTGAACTTAAAGAGATCTACCTGTCTCTGCCTCCTGACTGCTGAGATTAAAGGCGTGTGTTGTCATGCCTGGCTGGCCACCTTTTTCTTATGTCCTTTAACTACACAGATTATTTAAACATTGATTTTAAAATAAGCAGTGGACTAACAAGGGATCTTCCAAATTATTTAATATGGTTCTAAGAAGACTTAAAAAATATTTCTCAATTCTTTTTACTATGACCAAATTAAAATTTGTTTAGACATTTAATTTATCTATGGTATTGATCTGATTGTTCTCTTAATTAATATTAGTTTTTCGATTAGATGAAAATTTCAGGCCTGGAACCTACTTAAACAAGAACTCACATATCTATAAAGAAATATTCTCAAGTATCAAGCTTCCAAACAGATTTAGATATTTGTTCTTCACACTAAATCAAAAATTTAAAATCAGGCTAGAAATTTTACCAGAAAGCTAAGGATTCTTTTTTTCACTATACTCCAGAAATACCAAACTACTTGAGATTTTCTTACTGTGTCACATCTTCTTATAATTGTGTCTTTCATTTATTTACTAAACATTCACTCAGGTGTGATGGTACCCATTTGTGATCCCCATATTCAGTAGGCTGAGGCAGGATTGACATAATTTTGAGGCTAGCCTAGAGCTACACAGTGAAGTTGCCTCAAAAAAGCCAAAATATAAAGAAAACAACCCATTTTTGTACTTTGGAGGCATAGGCAGGAAGATGGCTAGTTCAAGAGTAGCTTGTAGGGCTGGGCAAAAGCTTGATAGCTAAGATCACTAGTTGTTCTTGTAAAGGACCCAGATTCAATTTCCACTCCCTACTGCTGTTTGTGACTCCATTTTCCCAGAAGATCCAATGTCCTCTTCTGGTCTCCACAGGCACCAGGCATATTCATGGTGCAGATATATATTCAAGCAAAACACCCATAGAAGAATAGCTTGGGCTAGATAAAGTTTGAAAATAGCTTGGGTTATCTCAATAGCAAGATTGTCTCCCCAAACAAAACAAAACAAAACAAAACAAAACAAAACAAAACAAAACACAAAGCAAAGCAAAAGCCAACACAAATGTTTACTGAAACATTAATTTCTGGAGAAAATAATGTTGAATAAGCTATAGTTCCTACTATCACAAAACCCACAGCTGGCCTCTCTTCTTAGAGAAATGGCACAGTCTCCCTTTACTCTTCATTTTCCAAACATCTCACAAACTCTGGAATAATAAAACGTTGAATTACTGAATAAATAAGTGCTCAAAATGTCAGAAATAAGGTTCCCTCTTTCATTTTCTTGAGACAAAGCCTCAGGCAGCCCAAGCCGGTGTGGAACTTCCTATGTTGCAGATGACTTTGAACTGCTCCACCTGCCTCTACCTCCAGAGGACAAGAATTACAAAGGTGCACTCCTGCACCAGTTGGTGGTACTTTTCAATTTCACTAGATATTTGAGTGTGTACTTGGGATCAGGTATTCTATGAGGTGCTCAAATGCGAAAGATTTAGAAATAAGAAAGCCCTTGCTGCTCTGTTGCTTTTCTAACATCTTAAACAGCAGCAGCAACAACATACAACCTCTTACTCATTATATTAGTTCACATCCACTTCCGAATTCAAATGTCACAAGTAATTCCAACAATAGCTTTCCCTTTCTTAGTGGTAAGATGTCCCTTTTCAAAACCCTTTGTGTTTTCTACCTTTTCTAGACAGAGTTTCTTTGTGTAGCCTTGGCTGTTCTGGACTCACTTTTTAGACCAGACCTCTGCCTCTCAAGTAGATTTTAGGCGTTCACCATGCACACAGCTACCTTTTCTTTAGGTAACTTTTTCAGTTTTTCTTCTCTAATCAGATCTTACCCAACCAGATAAAATGTTCCATTTTTGATCTTCTTGTCTCTTTTCTCTGGTGGTGGTCATCAAACCTTGTGCGTGCTGGAGACACTTTACCACAGAGCTTTATTTGCAGCCTTAAACCGAGTGGTTTTGTTTTGTTTCTGAGACAGGGTCTTACTGTGTAGCTCTGGCCGCCTAGGAACTCAGATCTGGCTGACCTGTAATTCACAGATATCTGCCTGCTTCTGCCTCCAGAGAGCTGGGATTAATGGTATAAGCCAACATGCCTGGCTTAAACTTGTTTTAATTCATTAATCCTGTACATAATTCTCTCTTTTTGTTCAAATAAGTCAACATTTGATAATTTCTTACTTATCCCTCAACTGTCCGGCTTTAGTTTTATCATGTAGTAAACTGTCCTATGTGTGGTGAGAACCTCCTATGGTGTTGCAAATGCCCAAGTCCTCATGCCTCCCCTTGAAGCACTGATTCTTGACATAACTGAGTATATGCTCTTAAAGTACTTACTAGCATGTCACTTGTCACCTTAAAATCAGAAGAGAGTTATTCTGAAGGTTTCATTAGTAATCTTCTCTGATCCCTTTGGACCTCACTGGGGAAAGAAGGCTGGAGTCAGGAGAGCTGGTTTCTAATTCTAGCCTGCACTTTTATTACACAAGAGGAAGTTCTACAACTTTTTTGAAGTGTGCCATTACACACTCACATTAACACTGTGTGAACTGCTTGCTTGCACAAACAAAAAGAAATAGGACCTAGCACATGGTTTAAGAAAGGAGAGTGGCAATCACCTACCATAGACTTTATATGGGTACAAAAATCAAAAATGGTTGGAACAGCATCCATTTTAAGTCGTCGAGTTTGTCCTGTTAGATCAAAACAAGAGGCTTCAAAGTGCTTTGAACAAAGAAAAGTGTGTTTTCCTGGCACAAAATTTTTGCGCCTAACCAGGCGAACCCATTCTTTTCTTCTTTTAGGATCCAAAGGAAACCTTAAAACAAGGAAACAAAAAGCAACTCAAATTCCAACTGTCCTACAACTTTTGTTGTATTTCAAACAGTTAAATTTTCTAATTTCCCTCATTTATGTAAAAAAATTAATCTCCAGAGGCCAATTTATACTAATTTTATAGTTATGAAAATTTAGTGAAAACCTAACTTTATAACTTTATCTTTTGAACTTTGAAAAGAGATTTTCCTTCCAACTTACCCCTTAACAAGAGCAATACTAAAACACAGACAACACTGTTGTGTGGAATGACTGATCATGGCATGATTTCACATGCTTTAATCCAATGATACATAACAGGTAAATCAGGTAAAGACTAAACGCCAACAAGGAATGTCTGGGTAATACACTCCCTTCTGCCTTTCCTACATTACATCATTGCTTTATACTTTCTCCATTAAAATTTCTAGTGTACAAGTTATATATTTTCAAAGAGTTAGAACTAATTGTGTGCATGCATGCAAACAGAGTGTGTATGTGTGTGTGTGTGTGTGTGTGTGCGTGCGCGCATGCGTGCCTGCACACATGCGGACAAATATGTGGAGGCAAGAAAACAACTTCTGGGAGGGAACTGATTTGGTTTTCTCCATCCACCATGGGTTCTGGAATGGAACTCAAGTTCTACAGCTTGTATGCTGACAACTTTTGCCTGCTGAGCCATTTTACTGTTTCTTGATTCCAGTGATTATTATTATTTATCTGCTTATCTTTGATCATGCCTTGTAAAAAATAAGAACTCAACAAAAACTGACATATTAATGCAAATATAGGATATATAAGTAACTCACTATATTCTATATAGCTAAACTGCACAAAAAATATGGAGTTATGCAGCATAGCAGAAAACATAATTATAAAAAGGTAAGTGAACTGTACCTATCCTTTTCTTTTTATATTTATTTCAAATACAAAAGCTACATTCATCCAACACATGCTGCTTAAGGAAGATACAAATAGACAGGGCTGTTTCTGAAAATTCTAATAATTCTATCTTTGTTAATTGACTTGGAAATGTAAGAATAAACATTCATACATAGTCAAATTTCAATTACAACTTTTATTTTTCTTTTTAACTTAGGGCCAAGGAGATGAGTCATTAGGTAAGAACTCTTACAACTGAACCTCATAACCTGGGCCCACATGGCAGAAAAAAGACCAACTCCCACAAGTTGTCCTCTGCCCTTCACATGAAGGCCATGGCATGTATACACAGTCTTTCTCTCTCAAATACACAATCAGTATATGACTGTTAAAAAGATCCCTTTGATCTTACATGTGTATGATATATGTGTGCCAGCTTGCAAATGGAGGCCTGAGGCTGAGTTGGTTTTCTCCTTCAACCTTTACATGGGTTCTGGGTATTAAATTCAGATTGCTTTGCATGGCAAGTGCCTTAATTCAATGAACCATTCTGCCAGCTTATAAGTCTTCTTTATATGTACTCTATGTACTAACCGGTATACAAAAAGAATCATAACATCCATTTGAGATCAGGTGGTGCAGAAGGCCTATCACATGGATGGAATTAGATTTCCACACGTTACTACTGAGGAGCATAAAGAGATGAAAGCCCAAATGTACACTAAATATCCTTCCTGGCATTAGATATGCCCTGAAGACATACTGTCACTCCAATTAACATTTTCATGTTTTAATTTTGCCAGCAGACATTTTTCTAATAAATTTACCAATGCTGCTTAGTTCTCAGGCTCCACTACCCTCTGAACGCTTTGAGACAGGATTTACCTATCTGACCCATGATTGTCCACCCTGAAGCTCTGCAGTCTTCCTGTCTCAGCCTTTCAAGTGGTTACAGGGTTACAGGAGTGAGCTTCCGCCTGCCTTCGGTTTAGTTCTTACCTTTTAATCTCATTTCAAAGAACTCTTATTTCATTATTTAGTGGTTTGTCAAACCTAGTTAGAGTGATTCATTTTACTAGGGAATTAATAAAGATGGGCAGAATGTATCATTTGAGGTCCACTGGCTTCCATCTTGAGTGCTGGGATTATGGGCTTGTACCAGCATATTTTAGAGCATTATTTTTAATTATGTTTTGTAGATGTTATCTGTTTTGAGAGTATAAAGTCACCCAGCCTGACAACAAACTTAATATGTAGCTGAGGATGACCTTGACCTCCAGTGGATTACAGGTCTATGTAACTCTGCCTGGTCCTTGAATGTGTCATCTGGATTTTTCAGTGTATTTAAGGGTAGCAAATGTAGCTCACTGTCTAAATTTAATAAAAAATCTTCTAAATATTAGCAAATTCACATGGTGGTAACAGATGGATATATTCTACAACACATGTTTGGGAAAAGTCGCAACAGAACAATGCTATTTTGCTTTCATTTTAAATAAACAGATAAATAGCTCTTACATTCTTAGGCATATAGATGTGGTAGTAATAAAAAGAAAAGCCTAGCCTCTAACTGTATACTGCTAATTGTGGTGGTAATAATTTTAAAAAGCCTCGTTTCTAATTGTATACTGTAATCGAAAAGGTCGTGAATTAAGTAGTCCTCACTTGTTGGCAGAGTGGCTGAGAACATTGTTGTTAGACTACCAGAATTCCAATGCTAGCTCCTTTGCACACTATCTGGACGCAACAGGCAAATTTACTTGAGTATACTTTTTTTAGATCTCCATTTTGGTGGTAGTGGTCCTAGGATCAAAACCAATGTCTCATATATATTAAGTATCTTCCATTGAGACATAGTCCCCGTCTCAGGAATTTTATTTCTATTATCTATAATGTAAGGTAGAAATGCTTCAAAGGGACTGAGGAGATAGAGCTCTGGTGAATCCCTGTGGCTCACTGATCAAGCTTTGGAAGTTTCAGGACAATGAAAGACCTTGTTTAAAAAAAAAAAAAAGTGCCTGAAGACTTGACAACATCCAAGGTTGTTCTTTGGCCTCCATGTGCACAACTGCAAACTTTAGTACACACATATTCCTTGTAAAGACTAGAAAATGTAACTGCTTAGCTTAGTGGCACAGTAGGTCTTTTGTAAAATAGTAAGTACAGGGCCTTATGGGGTAGGACATGTCGATTTATTCAGAATGCCCCAAGAAAAGGCCTTAAAAAATAGGACTAATGAAGTTATGAGTCTTGGGCATGAAAGAAAATCATGGTGGGCCTTTTCTAAGTCAAAAATATTACAATATATTCAAAGTGTTCAAAGTGTCATAGACAAGCCATAAAGGGCTGAATTGCAAGACCTGACAGAATCAGCTGTTAAATACAACCATTAATAAAAGCTATTTTCCCGGTAACTTTTTAAAAAATATTTTTTAATCATGTATGTTCCTGTGTGTGGATAAATACACATGAACCCAGGGACATAAGGAGGCCAGAAGTTGGATTCTTTAGCCCTGGAGTTACAGATTGATCTGCCTGCTATGAGTACTGGGAACTGAACTTGGGTACTCTAGTAGGGTACACACTTTTAGCTTCTGGGCCATCTCCCCAGCTCCACTTTCCACTTTTTAAAGTTATTCATGCCTACTGCATCTATATTGTGGAATCACTATAGATTAGTGTGATATTATACATTTCTTCTTATCTCCACAATCAATCGTGTCATATCAGTGCCTTGAAACCAAGCTTGGTGAGAGTAAATGCATCTTAGAAACTGAGCAAATACAAAAAATTGGGGCTTTCCCCTTTTGTGAAAAGACAGTTGTTAATGGGGAGCTTTGGCCATTGATTATAGAAGGGTGGTTAGAAGTACAGGAATTGAATCCAGTGAACCGGTTAAGATACTGTTACAATATCCAGTCAAGAAGGAATAGTGATACATCAGGTTGGACTATTTCCAACTTGTTGGGTAGATGGTATTTCCACGCACTGAAAAAGGAAATACGGGAATCAGTATGGCAGCTGATTACTGATACTGACTCTATGGCACTGGCAGAGGACCAGGGAAACAGTATATAATTAGGCCACAATTTTTTTTACTCATTAGAGATAAGACTTCTACAGTTTTGGGAATCTTTTAAGTTGTATATCACAAGTGGGACACACAGACACAGGCGAATCATTTTGATAAGAGTTTGGGAAGGGTTAGTGGAAGAGATAAAAACAAAGAAACCCAAAGAAGAAAAATCATAAAAGTAGTGACAAATTTAAAAGTGGAGATTATCTGAGTAAAAAAGAGCACACGTCATGAAAATGAGACACATGGATTATAGTAACAGAGGCAATTTAAGGTTATGAAGGAGATATAGACTGGAATAGGGTAAGAGTGTAAAAAAAAATTGAAAATAAATTTAGGCAACATAATTTTTAAAATTATTTTTATTTTGTACGTATAACATGCCTGACTGTGTCTGTATGTACGATATGCATGTAAGAGCATGAGGAAGTCAGAATAGGTATTAAACCCACTGGGTCTGGTTTGTGAGCTGCCATGTATGTGCTAGGAAGCAAACCCTGAGCAAAAAGCACTCTTAACGAGCCATTTATCTCTCCAGCCCCTACCCAACACAATAAGTACAGGCAGACGAAGAAGTCCGTGTCTGCCAGGCATGGTGGCCTTTAATGAAAAACACTTGCGAAGCAGGAGTAGAGAGAGCTCTGTGAGTTCAAGGCTAATCTGGTCTACCTATGGCGTATAAGCCAGCCAGAACTACATAGTGAGACCCTGACATACTGATGCTCAACACACAGTCTATGTCCTACAAGAGAAGTTACATACTATTTGTATTTTTATTATAACACTGTTTTAGCTCCCCCACCCTTTTTATGCTTGTTGTGTTTGGAGATAGGTGCTATTTTGTAGCTAAGCCTCAAATTCTTTCTGTAACTCAGGGTGGCCTTAAACTCATGGTGATTTTTCTACCTACTCTTCCAGTGTAAAGGGAATATAGAAATGTGCCTGCCTAGCAATTATAAAGACCTAAATTTCTAAGGTTATCATAAAAATGTTAATTTCGCATTAGAGGAACAGTATTGTACACGGTATATCCTTTCCTTCTTTTTTTGAGACAGGGTTTTACTGTGTAGTCTGGACAGGCCTCGAAGTTGGGGTGGATCCCTTGGCTTAGCCTCCTGAGTTCTAAGATTACAGCTGTGAGCCACAACAAGCTCTCCATTGTGCATCTCTTAAAGGATTTTAGTGGCTAAACTCCTCCCATTTGTCTTCCATATCAGATTATAGAATCCAGTAAATTCTCCTTAAACATTTTTCAAAAATCTATTTCTCCCCATCTTTATTGCCAATAGCATCCTATTCTAGGCCACTGAAAGGATTCCTTATAATTTTAAAATTTTATTTTGAGACAGGGCCTGTATAGTTTAGGCTGGCCTGTTCTTCCTGTTCTGAGATTACAGACATGTATCATTACACCAGGCTTGGGCTCCCTTTTGTTACAGCTTCCCATTTTCTTCTCATTCAGCTCTCTCAACTCCTTTAATTCAGTGCTCCTGTACAAACAACTATGCATCAGTATTTAGTTCAGTTGACATGTAGCCTAATTTCCCTGTGAAGGAAACAGCAAATAAATTAACATTCTATAATAGGCTCCGTTTTTATCAAATCCATCTCTGGTGATGCTTGACTAGCACTTTAAGTATCACTCTTTTAACTCCTTACACTGCAGCCAGAAGGCTCTTTTATTATGTAAATCTGATCAGGCTATTCTTTTTATAATCTTCTGGACTTCTCAAGTACTCTGAAAACAAAACAGAAAATGCTTTAGTGTAGAAGAGCAAACCTATGTCATCCTTTGGTCTCAACCTCTTTTGTGAGGTGTCCTTTGACTTTCCAAGGCTGAATTAGGTCTCCCTGAATGTCTTTTCTGTGGCACTCAACTGTAATTATGCCTTACTCCTCTATTCAATTCTAAAGTCCCTGAGGGTAAAAACTTTCTCTGTCATTAGCATAATGTCAGACAATTAGGGACCCGGTGTACATTAGCTCTAAGAATGAATAAAGCACTACCTTTACATGAAATAGTTTTAAAACAAACATCAGAAAGATTTTTTAAGTGGCAGCTTTTAGTTAGGGGACGCACCCAGCAAAAGTGAAGTGGGGAAAAGAGCAAAGACAGTTTCTATATTCTAAGATCACAATTTGTATGGTGGGGTATATAAAATCAGACTTTATTTTTCTTCGGGCGGGTGGCAGTTCTCGAAGGTGAGCATTTATTGAGTGCCTGTTATATCCAAGGCAGTGTTCAAATGCTTTGGAAAGTTTGACTTAACAGAACTAAAAACATGACTGCATTTTTGACCAAAGAAAAAGAAAACCTAGATTCTCTTCATGATTCTGTTAAAGAGAAAGCTTCTATTTGCTCTTTGATAAACATTGCCTAATTACATGGCCGTCAGTGATGACTCAGTTCTTCAGCAGTTACTACGTGTAACTATTAGAAATTGCTCAATTCAGCAAGTTCCTAATTTTAACTCGAGCACAGCGGGTTTTTAAAGAGTTTCGTTGACTTGAACGGGAATGATCTTTCCCTAATGGCGTCATTCGTCTCAAGGCATGGTCTAAGGCATAAAAATAAAAGGGTAGGAAATAAAGGTATATGCATCACTTTTAATGTAAGGGATATCATTCACAATAACTCGGACTTCTTTTTGCAAATTCGGTAAACTTTTCCCGGAAAAGGAGAAAATGCTTCCAGATGTGCGAAACCACACACAAAGGACAAAAGTGATGCTCCCTGCTCTCAGTAGCTGGGCAAGTAACTAAAGTCGGGGGACCCCGTTCTTTTGACAGGACCGACACTCAGACTGGTTAAAGCTCCCATTTCCGTAACCCAACTCCCTGCCCAGGTTACCTGTGGAAGCTGATGTTAATGTGCTTGTTGTAGGTAGCAGCACAGCCCGCCGCGGCGCAATTGGTTGGCATTTCCCCCGGCCCCTCATTCGGCGCTACCTTAAGCCAGTTCTGAGGCTCTGCCAGCTAAGCCTCTGTCAAACGCTAGACAACCGAGGCCGGCGGCCAGGCGCAGCCAGCTCGGTGCCGAGCGGGACGGAAAGAGGGGGCGTGTACTGCACAGGGAGGGGAGGGAGGGCCCACTCCCCTTTCTCTTTATTAATATGGCGGGTTTAGGCCCGCAGAACCAACGTGCCGGAGCTCCTGCCGCGGACGGTCGCCTTCACCAACATGGCGGCCACACCCGCTCCCCGCCCCCCACATCCACACCCCCGGGGTGGTCCCAAAGAGAGTAGGTATACTGCGTCTAAGGTTGGGGCGCCTTAGCAATGAGAAGATGGTAGGTGTCTTTCCCAACAACTAATTACTCTGAAAATCAGGTCTGCGACTGACGAGCAGGCCCGCTACCCGGGGACACTGACGCTGCCATCACAGACAGGGTGCCAGGGACAGTTACAGTTGCGGTCGGTGACCAAGGGCGAAGTCTTGCGCAAGAGGAAACTACAAACCCCAGCGCGCACCGCGGCGCGCTTCTGGTTACCGCGAGACTTGGAAGTCCTCTTCCGGCGTGCCGCAGGAAATGACGATCGGGACACAGCCTCCTTCCACGGCGCCTTTCTCGCGAGGCGGAAGAGCAGCAAGGGGGCGCTAGGAGAGGGAACTGGCTAGCGGCGGTCCGGCGAGAGAGATCTGGGGTGCGGGGAAGTTGGGGAGCAGAACCTGCTAGGCGTCCGAGCACGGGAAGGCCGCGCCTGCCGGGCCCGTTAGGACAGAGGAGGAAGGGGAAGGCAGCTGTCGGGCAGTCCCCGGACAGAGGGTTCAGGGAGTGTGGACAGCGCTGCTCCCCGGATGGCGACGGCAGATACTTCGACCCCGGCCTCTAGCGGCCTCTCACCGAAGGAGGAAGGGGAGCTTGAAGATGGGGAGATCAGCGACGACGATAACAACAGCCGGAGCCGGAGCAGCAGCACCAGCAGTAGCGGCGGGGGGCTGTTACCGTACCCGCGGCGGAGGCCTCCCCACCCGACCCGGGGCGGTGGATCCGGGGGAGGCGGCGGCTCCTCGTCGTCCTCGTCCTCTTCACAGCAGCAGCTGAGGAATTTCTCACGCTCGCGGCACCCGTCGGAGCGGGGCCACCTCAGGGGACACAGCAGCTACCGACCCAAAGAACCGTTCCGGACTCATCCGCCCCCGGTGCGGATGCCTTCGGGCTCCCTGTCGGAAAGCAACCCCCGGCCGTCGTTCTGGGAGCGGAGCCACATAGCTTTGGACCGATTCCGCTTTCGAGGCAGGCCTTACCGGGGTGGGAGTCGCTGGAGTCGGGGGCGAGGAGTGGGTGAGCGAGGAGGCAAGCCGGGGTGCCGACCTCCTCTAGGAGGAGGAGCGGGATCCGGATTCGGCAGCAGTCAGAGCTGGCGAGAGCCCTCTCCACCTCGCAAGAGCTGTATCCTTAACGTGGCGGTCTGCCCTGGGTGTGTCGCTGGAGCTCCCCTCGGCGTCATTGCTAGGTCCCCGAGTTTAACTTTTCAGAACCACTCATTTGTCACTGTTCGCCGGCAGACGTCCGGTGCCACACACCACCGCTATTTTCTTAGATTGTTTTATTGGGTGTATGGTTTTTTGAGCATGAGCGAGTCATGGATTCGGGTCAGCTAGGGAAATAGAATACAGTCTAGGTTTTTAACAGTACACCAGCAGCCTAAATTTCATAAATACTTGTTTTTTTGTTGTTCTTTTGCTTGAACCAGAATTTCGTATTTAATAGGAAATCGACTTAGATTATTAGAAAACATCTTGAGAAATACTGACTTTGCCTCCTGACTTTAGAATTCGTAATGTTTTCCTCTGTAATTTTACCGGTCTTGTGTTTTTTTTTTTTCTCTTAACCTTCTAGAGTTATTCGTTCCGATTGCTGCCCATTAGAAGTGTTAGTGTATGTTCGTACAAGAGCGTGTGTGTCTGCACGCGCGCGCATATGTGGATCCTTTATATGTACCCAATTTATCCTAATTCAGATCTTTTAAATTCATAGGTAGTTTGCAAAGCTATGTGTATTAAGTTCACTTTCCTGTGTTCACTTTTTGGCTTTATAACTGTGCTGCTGACATGTAGGTCAGGAAGGTAAACTTACTAGCACTTTCATTTTAGTGTATTAGAAAGGGAGGGATGTGTAGAGCATGGAATAGTGGGGAAGAAAAATAGCTAATTTCCTAATTTTTTTTCCCCTCTAACCTTATTATCCGTTGTCTTTAACATTACCAATTTTCCTCGAGCTTTATGCTAAGAAATGGAGCGTCCAAAGATTTCCTGTTTTATGATGGGTTTATACACCCGACTTTTACTGTTTAAAATAGTTTAGTAGCACTAAGCGCTTTCATTACTAGCTGTAATTCTTATGATGTTATGATGGTTTAATGTATTAATTTTCTGTAAAATTTACATCTGACATTTGATTGGAAGATACTAAAATATATTTGTATGGAGACCTTTAGGCCAGATTTGCTTTTTCTGGATGTCGTGATATTAAGTTGGCAAGGAATATTTAAAGAAACAACAGATTTTGGTTCCTGAGTCCTGTCTATCACCCGACCTTGGTTTAGAAGCATCTCAGGATTGTTTTGGAGAAAAATCACAGGTAGGTAACCTTTTAAAAGACGGTGACATTTCTTTCATGAAGATTAGAAGACCTTTGCCCATTATTACTTGCAAACATGAGCCATCCATGGATATTTCTGCTTTCTGTATTAATAAACCAAGAATGTTTAAATACATATAAACATGTTTTTTTTTTAAGGTTACATAAATGAGACTTGTAATTTGTGTTGGTGAAACAAATGAAAATAGAGTTTAGTAAAAAAAAAAAAAATCACATAAATTTGAGGACAAAAGTCCTATGGCAATTCAAAGGTTTTCTTGGTTTACTCTGCATTAGAAAGGTGTCGGTGATTATCCTTGCCTCCCGCCAGCCTTTACCTTTTTGTCTGTTCATTTGTTACTACTTGGGGATTATGCCATATATTCATATTTGTATGTACTTACTGCAAAAAGAGAAGATAAATATCCATTGTGCTTATGTGATTTTTATTTCTCTGACAGCTTGTCAGAATCAGCTGTCTTGCAGATTGTTTTTTTAGATACTGCACTTAATTTGAGAACAAGCTGGGTTTGATTCTCTGCATTATTGTTCTTATGAAATATCAGTAAACCACCCTAACATCAGTCTCCTGTTGATAACTACCATTTTAAACTTTGAAATCAGATGAGAGTTAACATAATTAGCACAGTGGCTTAGATTAGTAAAGTCATCTCATCTTCATTTTTGGTTGCAGCTATGGTTTAAAAGTCATTTTAAAATCATTCTGTCTTAGCTGGGTGCAGCACATGCTTTTAATCTTAGGTAGAGGCAAGTGCATTTCTGTGAGTTTGGGGCCAGCCTGGTCCACAAATCAAGTTCCAGGACAGCTAGGACTGTTACACAGAGAAACTCTTGTCTTGAAAAACTCTCCTAAAAAAAAAAAGAAAAAAGAAAAAAAAAATCACCTTCTCTGTCTCTCCTTTCTCTTTTTGGTACTGAGTATTGAACCCAAGGCTCTACTACTGAAAGTATGTCACTGGCTGATTTAAAATTTTGCCTGGAGAAAGGATCTTGCAAAGTGCTCCCAATTCTGTCTCAGCCTGTAGGCATTTGGCACCATACTCAAACCAAATGCAGTTTTTTTTTTTCTTTTCTTTTGTCTTTTTTTTTTTTTAAGATTTACTTTTATTAATTTTAGTTACGTATGTGTGTGTAAGCATATATTCACATGAGTGCCCCAGGAAATCAGGGATGTCAGATTCCCCAGGGCTTGAGTTACAAGGCCTGCTGACCTGGGTGCTGGTAATCAAACTCGGGTCCTTCAACAGTATGCACACACAACAGCAGAGCCATCCTCTCTATCCCAAACAGTTCTTAGATTATTTTTCCTTCTACCACTGAGCAATATACTGTATTGGCAAGTGGTACATAAAAATAGTTAGTAGTAACACCCTGAAAAACTTTAGAATTAGATTGGGTAAGCAGGTATTGATTTGATCCTTATTATGCTGTAGAAGTGGGAAGGATTCTGTTTGATAGTTAATGACCTAACTAAATTGATTTTACTCATTTTCGGTTGTTAGGTTACTTTTTGTTACTGAATTTATTCCCTTTGCAGATGTCTGCAATGTCTTTAGTATTTATTTGGTTTTTATTACTATAGTTGTACCTAGGTGGTTCACCTGGAATATAGATAATGGCACTTATGCACATTGAATGCATAAGTGGACAGGGAGAATAAATAATTCTGGCTTCACCTAGGAGGTGTGTTGAATTGGGGTCAGGTTGAAGAACAGAAGCCTAGATACAAAGCTGCATAAATTGTGTTGAGCAGGAAAAAGGTAAGATTGGAAAGGTAAGCACAGGTCACATAATAAAGGCATTCATTTTGAGGACTTTGGCTCTAATGAGAATTAAAGGGAATGATTTGAAGTTTTATAACCTAAAAGATTATTTTGGCAGCAGCATGGGCGTGGCTTGTGGACGATAGAAAACCCAAAACACCTTATCAATTCAGATTCCTCTCATGGGCAGTAAAACAGTGGGAGTACGTTAGAATGTTTTCAAATGAAAAAAAGACTGAATTCTGTCGACTGCAGATAGAACACCATTTCAAGAGTTGAAGAAAAAGGAGTTAGGAAATATTAACCAATGTAGATAAATGAGACATGAGAGGTACAGAAGCTGAGACAACAGTGGCGTACAGTGTTACATGCTGCAGAGAGATCAGGTAAAATCAAGTTTGAACATAATAGTCTGTAAACTTAGATAAGCTTCTGTTGAATTAATAAAACCAGTTGGAGTCCATTTGGTGGGATGGTAGAAATATATTGAAAAGCTATTATTTTAAGAAGCTTGACTGAAAGCTTGAGAAAAGCAGAGATTTACTACAATAGTTTTAACGGGAGAACTATTGCTTTTAAGTTAATATATGGTCATGATTGGTTGTCAGGAGTTTGAAAGTATTTGATGGCTCTTTCATTATTAAACAGAGAAGACCTGTTATGTTTAAAATAAGTGAAAATACAAATGGTTTATTGAAACTTCATGTTTCTTAATTTGCAGAATGAAATTCATATCATATTTATGAATGTTTGAAATTAGAAAATACATTTTGAGTACCCTTTAAATTGTTATTT